CATACTGTGAAAAGTAGCCTGACTTCTTGGTGATGAACTCTTGGGTCATAGCCCATTAACAAGAGCCACCACAGCAAACACTATCGTAAAACAAATCAAAACCAATAGCGAATGATTACTTACAGTCCCCTGGCTGTAACTCTGACCATTAATATTTAAGAACGTTGTTTTTAGTGGCTATCATCAAACCAACTTTCAAAATGTAGAAATATGATGGAAGAGAAGAAAACCATTGGCTTATCTGCTTATAGAGTTGCCTCAAAGATTATTTTAGTAAACTTACAGAAGATGATTTTATATCCTAATCCTTGTATTTAGTAATAGCAAGCACTTATTTTATCCATCTGTGCAGTAGTCCTTAGAACATTAAATTTGAAAGAGTAATAACAAGACAGCAAATTGTCCCAGTGCCATTTCTACTAGAAATCTATCAAAAGATATTAGAAAAATGAAAAATAATAATGAACAAGCTGTGTTGTGTTGTGTGCCATAGAACAGCCCTGTGGGGTAGATAAATGTTGAGGTATCTAAAGACAGAAATAATGAAAAATCCATCACCAAAGGATTCTTGATGGCATTTACTTATAAGATTAAAAAGCAAAAACACAACAAACCGAAAAAGTTGTGTTGGATTTAGGAAGAGATCTGTTCATATTAAAGATGACTAATATTAAATAAGGTATCCTCAACTGGGTTTTAGTTTTCATAGTCCTAGAGTTACATCTGGAAAGGACCCAAAGGTCATCCAATCCAGTTCCCTCATTTCAGAATTGAGAGAACTGAAGTGAGAGAGGGGAAGTAAGTGCCCAGGTCCCATGGGCAATGATAGGGCTGGGATTTGACGAGGGAGCCACATACCACAGCCACTGCCCTATGCTGGCTCTGTCCCTCTTTCAGGGCTGAGCAGATTCTGTTTGAATTCAGTTTGAATGGCTGGTTCGGTTTGGTCTACAGCCTGTTTTGTTGTATGATTTTCTTTGTGCCTAGGCTATCCTGTTATTTGTTATTCCCTTTGTTTCCCCCCTGAGGATCTTGGTGCTCAGATGACAAAACCCAAGGCCATCTTCCTTGAGTCAAGAAGAATAGATGCTGTTTTTATATTTGGTCAGATAATTATCACAGGATGAATCCCATTGTTCCCTTCTCTTGTCATCTTAATTTCCAGAGAGTATTATTACACTATCTCTGTATGCTTCTTGTCTTTCAATATGTTTTGAAGTAGAAAAAAATGCACCAGCCCCGCAGGATTGGTGTAGTCTCATTTCCCTGTGACGTGAGTTTTTTAGAATATTTTTACACATGTGAATGCATGCGTATGTGTACACACACACTCACCTTCCACTTGGGAGGACAGACTCCTGTGCATTTTTAAAAAATTTCGTTGATGTGTTTCCAAGGCACCTTAAAGTCTAAAATGTATTATCTTGAAATAATATTATAAACTAAATTGCCTTCTGGAAATATTTGAGATGACACATTTGTTAAGTGATGATACTGCAATTTAACAGTTGTGGTTTGAGTTTTGAAAACCCCTGGACAATGGGCAGCTTAATGAGGAATTCAAAGATAGGATTTACCATCTCTTCCTAAACAATGGTTTGTGAGTAGCACTCATTTCCATTGTGTTTTTGAGATTAGCAAAGATAACACATGCCATAAAGTATTTCAGGTATTACCTGAAAGTCTCCCAACTGAGAATAACAGTTTAAATTATAGATGTTTTCAATATGTAACTAGTTTGTGAGAATTTAATGTGATTTCCTCCTTAGGTTAAACCCTTTAAATAGCAAAATTTTCTGTTCACTGTTTTTTTTCAATAGTCATATATTTAAAAATTATCGTTCTGTTTTTGTGATCTTGAGGCCTTATTTAGAGACAAGGGATGGGTTCTGTCCAGTGTAAGTATTATGGGCAGTATGGCCATCCAAGTTTAAAATAATATTTTGAGCAATTTTTTTTTCTCATAAGCCATTCAATTCTACAGCTTCTTTTATTGATGCTAGAAGACATCATGCATACATGGATTGGTGTAGGTGAGCATTATAAACTGAGGGAAAAGCCTTTGTGTTACTATCTTAGAGACAAGAGAAGATACATTTATCAAGAACACCATGAGGTGGTAGATTAGTAATTCACTGTTATTTCCCATCATTGTTTGGCAGTGGTAGATTAAAAGCAAGAGCTCCCTCAAAAGAAAAAAAATTAAAAACAGAACACTAAGACATCTTTACCATCTATGTCATTGGCTGCTCATTCACCTGCCATTTCTACCAACTGGACGCGAGGGGGGTGGGAGGGAAGTTACTTGGAAAATGATGGAGTCCAAAAAACAATATCAGGATAGAACTATCTATGACTGAACCTATCCTGCACAAAGAAAAGTATGTATATAACCTGGAAGAAAGAGGTAATACTTAGCCTGTGCTGGGTTGCTACTATCTTCTGTAAAATTAATGTTGAGTAGCTCTATAATAGTTATTACTTGGGCAAAAGTAACATGCTTTGTACATTTAGTAATCTAATAATACAACTTAATGGGAATTATGATATGGCTTCATCTATCAAATTCCCATTGCGTAGAATGGAAAGAAACTTATTTTGTGAAAAAAAGTAATTATATGAAACTAATTTAAACAAAAAGGTTGCAAAAATATTCAGTGGCTTTTCAAGGAAACTAATAATTAAATAAGGTAAATTAGAATGGTTTTCCATGTAACAATCATACCAACCTTGTCAAATCAGAGGAAAATATAATGTTTGGCTCTAGAGTACTCCAACCCATTTGAACCTGTTCATCCTTACCTTCAGGTATGCAGCAGAAAGGACTAATTATTGAAAACCTATTTCATCCACATTAGTTTGGATTAGTTGATGATGTTAACATTATATTCTATCGAAGAACTGAGGTACATGGAAGAGTTTTGAAAGAATGCAAATTTTCTGCTCTTATGAATAAGGTTTCTTAAAATGTTAAATCAAGAAAAATTTCTAATTTGTAGGAAAAGGTTGGGTAATTTCATCATGTTCTCTTCATATGTTATCTGACATTAATGAGAATTACAATCATATTAAGAAAAGATTTCATTTAAGAATGATTGTAGACAAGCCTTCTTCTTAATCACAAATAACCTAATAGAGTAAAATTTCTGATTTACCATGAGATATTTGTAAAGAGTAAGAAACAGTCAAATAAAAACTTGGGCATGGTAGAGGAGGAAGCCCTCAGCCTTTTCTCTAATAGCCAAAATGTGTTGTTGAATTCCCCCTTTTTTGTTGGGTGAATAGTGTATTTTGTCATAAGCATGCATTGATAGCCATGAGATTATGAAGCCTTCTATTAATCTAAGTTGATATTTTAACAACATAGAATTTGTATTTTAGAAATAATGAAATAAATTTAAAAAAACATAAAAATACATTATCCTGAATAGCAGATATGATAATTATATTTATTTTTGAGAACCTTTAAATTTTATGTTCCATCAGAAAAAGAAATTATATTCCATGTCTTGTATCATACATATGTTTTGTTTGACTGCCTAAACCAAAAATATTTTATGGGTAGGAATTTTTCAAAAATATAGCTAGTTCCTTCTATTAATTAATATACTTTGAGGTCACTTGAAGCGAATCAATACCTGCAGCAGACAGTTTATTTGCTACCTAATGTAAGTATTCAATGCTCAGCTTTGGAAACAAAGATACTGTTGTACAACATGACAGTGCATTTAATACATTGCCAAGTTACACTTTCTGATTCTGCTATATCAAAAATAAACCAAAACTATCAAAGTATTTTCCCCCTTCCATGGAATTTACTATACTCCACATGTTGCATTATTTGTCCCATACCCTTTCCTGAGAGTATCATGTAGAACAGTCTTTGCTGGTGGTGCAGTGGATGGAGGATTGGGCTTGGGGTTAGTTTCAAATTCAGCCTCAGATGTTTAGTAGCTGAATGACCCTAGGCAAGTCACTTAAGCTTTGTTGGACTCAGTTTCCTCATCTGTAAAATAGGGATAATAGCACTTACCTCCCAGGGTTGTTGTAAAGTACAAATGAGATAATTGTAAAGTGCTTAGCACAGTGCCTGGCACATGGTAGGCCCTATATAAATGTTAGCTATTATTATTATTGTTGCTCTTATTTTTAATTAATATTAGTAGTAGTTGTTGTAATTTAGAAGGCAAATTGTCACTCCTTCTCCTCACTCCAACCCGCCCCCCCAAGAGGTACCTAGAATAGAAATTGGCTGTTTTTTGTTATGTTGAGGATTTGAGATTTTGTTTTTATTGTTGAAATGGGAAACAAAAACTAGCAGGTACAAAAATGACATTTGATACAGGATAGATAAATGTCTTCATTTTAATTGTGGTTATTTCACCTCTTTTTTCTTTCTTTTTTTTTTCTTTTTGCTAGGCAATGGTGTTAAGTGACTTGCCCAGGGTTACACAGCTAGTGAGTGTTATGTGTCTGCGGCTGCATTTGAACTCAGGTCCTTCTGAATCCAGGGCCTGTGCTCTATCCACTGCGCCACCTAGCTGCCCCTTCACTTCGTTATTTCAATGAAATAGAATTACAAATCAGTAAACAGATTGGACACATGCTTTATTTTTACTTCATGGCAAATGTTAACTGTAATTAGAAATATGTAAATTGTAATTTTAAGCTTTGATTAAAACATAGGAATAAAAAAAGCCATATCTGCCTCTTGGAATAGTAGCAAAGTTGCAAATATCTGAAGTATAAGCAAATATAAGGCTGAGAATATCTGGAGTAGTCTAAAAAAAGCAGAAAAGTTCTATGTGGTTTCTGGATACTAATTTGCCTTAAGCTCTAGCTAGTTGGGAAATTAATTTCAACCATTCTATATTTCATAATTGCATGTGTTTGGCATAGCTTTGTGTTTTTGTTAGTTTTTTAGTTCTTTGGAAAATCCTAATGATCATCATAATTTTTAATAACGTATTCTCCAATAACATGTTATTCTCCTTTATTAGGAGCTTCCTGAGCCATTACATGATGATAAGTATAGAAAAGAGCTTGATGAAGTAAGTAGTCATAGATCACAAGGAGAGCTGGATATTTCCATGAAGATAGCCTGGCGTTATCAAAACTTACCCAAAATGGAGGTAACTCAACATATGTATACAATTTTCCTATACCTGTACAAATTTATTTACTTATTTATATTTATTTTACTTATTATTTAAATGAATGAATGTTTATTTGTGATGATGAATTATTCAGTTTGCTCTATTTAAGATGTTAGAGAAGTCTGCAATTTATTTTAGAAATACTTTCATCCAGAGTAATTAGAATAAAAAGTTTTGTTGCTTTAAACAAGTAAAATATTCTTTATGTAGAAGATACAGATATCCTCAGCTATTGATTTCTTGAGGGTTCCAAATAGCTAAAACATTACAAGTAATATGAATTTCATAAATATTTGCTGAATTCATTCAAAAAATAAATCAATTATAAACGTAAAGAGTACATAGTCACTCATGTTCTCTCAGAGCTGCCGTTAAGAAAAACTTCGGAAAATACAAGGTAGGTTAATGAATGTGTGAATGAATGAGAAAGCATTTATTAAGTACTTCCTATGTGCAAAGCATTGAGCTGAGTCAGAGATTCTTAACCTTGATTCTATCATGGACTCCTTTGGCATCCTGGTAAAGCCTGTGGACCCTGATATTTGGCCAACTGTATCATATGAGCATCGCTAGACAGTATGACTGATCACATGTGATCCAGCAGCAGGTCTGATGACTACAGTTATTTCTAAGCAGTGATATGCTTTATTACCTATATTCGTAATTGAAGGAATTGCCAGATTTTAGTTAGAGGTTAATGAAAACTAAGATAGAGTGTTTTTCCCATCCACATTCATGGACCCTCTGAAATCTTTCTTAGGACCCCAGGTTAATACCTCCTATACTCAGTACTGAAGATATAAATAGTATAGCAGGAAAGCCCCTGCTCTCAAGGACCTGACTTTATAATAGAAAGAAACAGCATATATATAGAAAGGTTCAACCACAGGACAGTTAGATGGGCCCAGTGCTCAATGTTATAAGACCAGCTGGTCCGGATGGCCAATAGTCCTGTTGTTCGTAAATACATACATTGATGTACCAACACATCTTCTTCAGTATCATCTTGATTGAAAGACTGTAATTTGTTTCTGACATTAAATCATTTGACAACACCAAGCATTTTGGTGCTGAGGACTTTGGTAGCAAGAACTTTCTTTTAGAGGTCTGTCAAAGCTCTGGCTGCTGAAAAGGCCAAGGTTGGAGAGGTCTGCATCTCTCCTGCAATTGCCTCTTGGGAGGAGAGAGAGCAGGGGGAGGGCAAGTCAGTGCAGGGCCAGGTCCAGGAGGCAGTGCCGGTCATCGGACTCTTGGCCTGCCTCTACCAGGGTTGGGGGAGGTGATTTTGCTTGGGATTGTTCTGACTGCCTTGCCAAAGCTGAAATGAGATCATTTGTCAAGTCAGCTATACCTTTGCCTTTGTGTAAGAGCAGGTTCTACTTTATTAGTTCAAAAGAGGCCTGTTTCTGTGGTGCAAGTACTTCACCCATGCATGCTGTGGCCCCTTTCTCTCATATTAGATAGCATTCATTAGTTGCTATGACCAAAAAAAAAAAAGCAAAGAATCCCTCCTCCCCTGGTGGTGAGCTGGCTGGGGAGAAGCCACCCCAAAATTGGCTAGTCTAATTCTTGAAGGCAGACACACGGCCCATTGCCAGGCCTGCAGCCAAAGGCTGCCCAACTTGCTTAGATCTGTCATAATTAGGTGGCACAGGACAAAGAGCATTGGACTTAGGCAGAGTCAGGAAGACTGGAATTCAAATCCAGCCTTAGGCACTTACTGGTGGTGGAACCATGGACAAGTCACTCTTTGTCTCAGTTTCCTCAACTGTAAAATGGGGATAATGATAGCACCTGCCCCTGGGATTGTGAAGATGATAATCAGATATTTGTAAAGTGCCTTGTAACCTTAGCGCACTATACAAATATTAGTAGTTACTGTTGTTGTTATTCCATCAGCATAGCCTTTGAACAACTAGGGTCACTTTCATGTTCAGGTCACTTCCACAAGCATCTAGAAAGTGCCTTTTATGTGTAGAATCAACTTAAAACATGTTTGTACTTCCAGGATGTCATTTCATCCACATGCATATTCTTCCCTCTGACAAAGATCACAGCCCTACTATCATACAACATAGGAACTATAACTACAGCAGCCCTGAGCTATTGCCTTGGAGGGCAGAGAGCTTCCTTCCACTGTTCACAAGGTAGTTAGTCCCGGATAGCTCACCGTCGTGCTAGGTGACCTTCTGTCACCCCTTCGTTCAGATGGCCCAAAGTTCCCTTTGCTTCTCACCAGTCTCACAGTAGCAAGGAGCCTACCATCAAGAAAGAGAGCCGCTTCCATGTAGCCGACACACACTACCCCATGCAGGCCCGAGGACTGCCCAAGGAAGCAGGGAGATGCAGATTTCTCAGGGCTGGGTGCCCACATGGGAGACAGGATACCTAACTTAGTGACACTGACCATCTCACATGCTGCCTCCCCCTTTGGTGACTGACTAGCTTGTCAAATGTAGTCACTAGAGTGAAATTTGTAAATTGTGAATGAATTCAGCAAACATTGGTGGTCATAGCTATTACAGGTTTCAGACTGGTATCGTCTGAATGATTGAAAAGAGTAATCATATTGTACGGTACATTATGAATGTTGTCAGTGAAAGCTTTCTGTGTGATTTCTTAATATTTTTTATAACTTGCTAATTTTCTGCATTCAAGGATGACTTGTTTATCCACCGTCAGTATTGGGGGGTGGGGAGAAGTTGTTTTTCTGTTAAGGGGTAATGTGGACCATTCATAGACTATTTTGCTCTAACTGGTAATACAGAGAAGGGTAAAGTGACTACCATGACTAAGTCTGTGGATCATGGGGCAGTCGTTCTCACGATGCAAAGCTGGACCTATATAAACCCATAAAAATTTTCATTAGTAATATTCATCAGCCAATGTTGCTCATCTGAGAAACATTTTGTGCTAGTTAGGGAGGATCACTGTGCCTGACACTGAGAGAAATACAGTGTGATGTTGTGGGAGTTCACTGCCTGCTAGGAGAAGAAGACAGGAACAGAGACGGCCAGAATAAATTCTTTCACAGTCAGTGCGTTAGATAGTTGTGAGTTGGGGCGTCTTGTAAGATTCAAGAGGGATGGGTGACTAGGAAGCAAGGGAGATTTCACTGAGGAAAGGCCGTTTGAGTTGAGACTCGAAGAATGAAGAGAAATCCAAGAGCTAGAGAAAGAAGAGGGAGTCCATGCTAGGCATTGAATCCATGCAGGGAGGCAAAAAAATGAAGGGTCGAGTCAAAGCGTAGAGAGTAGTCCACTTTTTCTAGAGCCTAGAGGAGAGTAATTGGAGATTGATAGTGGGCAAATAGGGTGGCAGAAGATTTTGGAGGGCTTCAGATGCCAGACAAAAGAGGTCAAACTTGACTCATATAATGGAAAGGCCTAAAGACTTTTGTACTGCTAAAAGAGATATTTTTATGGATGAAAAATAGATTGGAGTGGGAAAAACGCAAAGGAAGGAAAACTTGTTAGGAGGCTATTGCAGTCTGTCCAGAGCAGTAATAATGACTGTCTTTTCTAAAGTAGCGCGGCAGGAGGCACATAAAGGAAATAATTTGATCACAGGGATTCTTAATCTGCAGTCCATGAACTTGTTTTTTAAAAAAATATTTTGATAAACATATTTCAAAATAATTGGTTTCTTTTGTAATCCTACATAATTTATTTTATGAATTTAAAACCATTCAAGAAGGGGTCCATAGGTTTCATCAAACTACCAAAAAGATATGAGGGTCTCGGACACAAAGAGGTTTTGATTTTGGGGTTGGGGTTTTTGGTTGGGGTTTTTTTTTTTTTGGCTCCTTTCCACCTCTCCCTTGCAGTGGAGGGAGGTCCCATGGTTTTAATTACCATCTAGAAGACCTACCTATCCTATCTTAACCTCTTTCCTGATCTCCAGTCTCACATCTCTGACTGCCTTTCAGACATCTCAGATGTCGAATGGGCATCTTAAATTCAACATGTCCAAATGGAATTCATTAGTTTTTCCCTCTAAACCCTCCCCTCTTCATTACTGCGCTATTGCAGTAGAAGGTAACATCATTCTCCTAGTCCCTCAGGTCTGCAGCCTATGTGTCATAACCTCAGTGTCTTCCTCATCTTCTCACTCTCTCTTACCTCCCATATCCGATCAGTTGGCAAGGTCTTTAGATTGCACCTTTGTACTGTCTCTCTAATACACTCCCTTCTTTAATGCGCCCCCTTCTTGCCTCTGACACTGCTGCCACTCGTTGCAGACCCTCATCGCCTCCCCCCTGGACTGTTGCAACATGCTGCTGGTGAGTCTGCCTTCCCCAAGGCTCTCCCCACTGCAGTCCATTCTCCACAGTGATTTCCCTGAAGCCCAGGCCCAGCCATGTCACCTCCCTACTCAGTAAGCTTCAGTGACTTCCTATTACTTCCAGATCCAATACAAAATCCTCTGCTTGATATTCAAAGCCCTTCGTCACCTAGCCCCATCCTACAATTTCAGTCTTGTTATTCCTTACTCCATACCATGGAGGCTTCCATCTAGTAACACTGGCCTCCTGGCCATTCCACCAACAAGAAGCTGCATTTCTCAGCTCCAGGCATTTTCTCAGGATGTCCTCCATGCCTGCAGTTCTCCCTCCTCAGCTCCACTTAACTGGCTTCCCTGGCTTCCATTTTCAACTAAAATCCCATTTTCTGAAGGAAGCCTTTTCCAGCCCTTCTTAATTCTAGTACCTTCCTTATTTCAAATATTTCCAATTTTCCTATTTTGGGACAGCTAAGTGGCACAGTAAATAGAGCACACCAGGTCTGGAGTGAGGAAGACTATAGTGTAAATCTGGCCTCAGGCACTTACTAGCTGTGTGACCTAGGCAAGTCACTTCACCCTATTTGTCTCAGTTTCCTCATCTGTAAAATGAGTTGGAGAAGGAAATGGCAAACCATTCCAGTATCCTTGCCAAGAAAACCCCAGATGGGGAGAATTGGTCATGATTGAACAACAAATTTTCCTACTTATCCTATTGTACCTATTTGTTTGCTTGTTGTCTCTCTCCCATTAGATTGTGAGGTCTTTGAGGACAAAGTTTTTCTTTTGCCATTTTTTGTACCTGGGGTGTGCAGTGCTTTGCACATAAACATAGATTGACTGACTGATAAATGACTCAGTCTGTGCCCTGAGGCTGTCCGCATGACACACAAAAAACTTAAAAACCCCTGATCTAGAGCTGAAAGACTTTAGAGATCATATCCTTGGAGACTCCTCATTTTGTAGATGAGGAGACTGAGGCCTAGAGTGGTAAAGTGATTTGACCATGATGAATTAACATGGATTTATTTTTAAGTAAATGATAATAAATGGAATTTTTTTCATATGGACCTTAATTTGGGCAGGGTTTTTTTTTTTAGATGAAATAGCTCAGTTGTTTGTTCTTGATTAGTACTCCTGAACATCTTAAAGGGATTCAGAAACCTGTTTAGATGTACATTAATTCATTTCCATAAATTGCTTTTATGGAGGCGTGTGAGGTGGGCAATCTTTGTTCTTGGATTTTTCCTATAAAAGATTTCAAGGGTTATAGTTGTTTCTCATTATCTAATTGTCTATTGGTAAGCTATATTTGTTCATTCCAAACTAATTTTTAATTCCTGACTAAAAATAGTGAGCTAAATGAAACTAAAAGATATACAGATTTATTTTTATTTTTTAATGAACTATTTTTATTCTTGGTCAGTAGATAAACTGTCACATGAAATTAATTTTCTGCCGTTATTCATCTCTCAAAATGACTTTTCTGTCTCATCAGTATTATAATTAGAAATACTAATAATTAATGGTGGCCTAAAAGAATACTTTGTTCACTGATAATTTAGTTCATTTCTTTCTGCACCCTCTCACTCATAGGGCTCCAGGAAGCCTCAGTCCACTAATAAATTTATCAAGTCCAACTTAAAAGAAGTGGAAAGTCTCCCTTTCTTTCTCTCTCCATGGCCCGTCTGCTAAAACAGATTATTCATGCTTACTTGATTCAGGTAGGCTTTTGCAAGCTTCCCCACTAGGCCTGGGAATGTGGTACATTGAGGCCTATTCAGAAGCTTCTGACATAGACCAGGCTTTTATTGCGTGGTGTTTTATTATAGCCAAATCCTAGTCTCCACCCAGTTTGTTGGCACTCTACTTATTCTTTTGAATTGAGAAAGGTTATCACCTACCTTAATCCCTGCAGCAGCGTGGATTAAGGACACCAATGTGCCCCAGGATTCTCAAAGAGGATCCTGGAAACTTCTTGTTTCTTCTTTTTCGCTGTCTTTACTAAACTCTTTGGGGCCTTAGTGAGGATTTGCATCTGAAATGGGCAACCTGGAGCTTTTCTCAATGAAGACATCAGATCAAAGTTCAGTTAGTCAAGGCCTTTCTAAAACATTAAGGGGGCTTGGACTTATACAAGAAAAAGATGAGCTCTAGCAGAGATTGCAGTAAAAACATTTTGAACTGTAATCCGGATAAAGGATAGATTATAGGCCAAAGAACAGACCCTGTTTAAATTGCTTTCACACAACCTTTAGACTAAATAACTTTACACTCTGTTTTTTATGAAGCATATATTTTAATATAAAATGTTATTGTTTGTCAATGTTTTAATAATAGTTAAATGCCAAAGCAAACTTAGTTTAGGTGTCTTTGAAATTAAAGAAAAAAATGAAATAAAAACTTAGTTGCTGTGTCTTTAGAGCAAGAAATCTGATTCAAAAGATCACACTAAAACATTTCAGTAAAACATTTTAAATAAAGAAGCATAAGTATGGCATCAAGGAGTCATGAACATTTCTATTACTTCATTTAAGAGTTAATTTGACTAAGATTGAATATTGGTTTAAAATTTAATTTTAATTTTTGTGCAGTTTTTTTTTAATTTGGCATTGATTTAATTCAAAAATGATTATCTTTGGGCATTTATATATTGTAAGTACTTAATAACAATTATGAAATATTGTTTATTTGTTGGTTTTTAATCTAAATGGCCTAAGTTTTAGTTTACAACTCTGATCAAAGACCTACAGTCTATAAAGGCCTTTTGGCTTCTGGAGTGATTCTCCTCTTTTTGTGTGTGTTTTGCAGTCAGTCTTTTCCATGGAAATCGGGGCAATAGTATATTGCAGGGTTCGACCAAACAAGAAATTCTCACAGTGTTCTTTCTGGAATCCTTCACCAACAGGAATCCAGATGACTTTAACCTTAAGTCCTAAAACCTTAACCTTAAACCTTAAAACTTTTTTAAAGTTTTAAATGACAGTCACCTCCCAGGCTCAGTTGGGCCACTCAAGATAATAATCATGCAGTTTCATAATTATGGGCTAGAAACTAGTTTTGTGATTTCATTACTATAGGAAGCTCTCAATCTAAAACTCTCTCTACCACATATAGCCTTAGGAGATACTTAGAGTGCTGAGAGATTAGGGACTTGTCTAAGGTCACACAGACAGGATGTCTCAGAGGTGGGATGTAACCGCAAACCTTCCCATCCCCTGTGCCACTCCATCTAGTTATTTTTATAATTTCATAACTGATTCATATTAAATTCATTGTGATGCATTAAAGTATGGTGCAGTCTCTAAAGGGACTGCTAAGTGAGAGATTTTAAAATTGTAATCAAGGATCTCTGTGAATTTGTTGATGGTGTCTAATGTTTAAAGATACTCAGCTGTGTTCCAGCTTAACATCTAAGCTCCTTAGGAGTAGGGATTATTTCATTCTTTGTACTTTTACAAGCTCATCGCCTGGCACATAGTAGGTGCTTAATAAATGTTTGTTGATTGTTTGGTTAGTGAACTAATGTGACTGCTAAGACTTATAAAAGAAACTATCCTAAAATGACACATGAATTGAGGGGATGCCCATAAGTTGAGTAATGGCTGAATGAGTTGTGGTATATGAGTGCAGTGGAATACTGTTGCTGTTAGAAATGATCAGCAGGCTGATTTCAGAAAAATCTGGAAAGACTTACATGAACTGATACTGAGTGAAGTGAGCAGAACCAGGAGAACATTGTACACAGTAACAGCAGCATTGCGCAATGATCAACTGTGATTGTCTTAGCTCTTCTCAACAGTGCAATGATCCAAGACAGTTACAAAAGACTCATGATGGAAAATGCTATGCACATCCAGAGAAATAACTGATGGAGTCTGAATTCAGATCGAAGCATGCTGTTTTCATTTTCTTTATTTTTTGGTGCTTTTTTTCCTTTTGTTCTGTTTCTTCTTTCATCACATGACTAATGTGTAAATATGTTTAACATAATTATACATGTATAACCTATATTAGATTGCTTGCCATCTTGGGAGGGAGGCAGGGAAGGAAGGAGAAAATTTGGAACTCAAAATCTTATAAAAAATGAGTGTTGAAATCATCCTTACATGTAATTGGAAAAAAAATACCATTTAAAATGACACGTATTCTTTCTCATCAGACTGGCCCAGGATCATCTTCAAGATTTGGTCACTATTATGATGTGTCAAAGAGGATGCCCCAAGAGATAATTCAGTCTGCAAAATGGCACGGATTTTTCCTTCCAGAAGAAATTACTTCATATCCTAATGTAGAATCCTGGTAAGTTCATAACCTGCATAAGACCTAAGATTTCAAAGACTGATATAATGAAGTTTTGCTTTGAAAAGGCTTATAATTTTAAAGTATATATTGTGAGGAGTAAATTTTGATTTTTTACATTATAAGCAGTTATGGCTGTGTGTACTTTTTGTTGCATTTCATTGTACATTTTTTTTTTCCTCTTCTTTTTCAAGTCTTATCACCTTTATCCCTATTATTTTAATTCTCGACAGTTGAACATTCTTGATACTAGATATTTACAAGTCCCTGCTGCTTTAATTATCAGTAAATTATGAAATAGCTCTAAATCACTGCCTATTAGTATTCTGTATAAGAAGTACTTAATAATGATAGCTTTCTGATCATGATAGCAATGAAAATAATATAAAATAATACCACATTCTCAATTTTTTATGAAATACATTTTTACAGAAGACACACAAGCATGCCATATTGTCTAATATTAAGTAGCCATCAATAGACTGATACAATGCTGGTGTGATGAGCAAAGGTCAGGTTTTTATTTTTCAAGGCTCTCAGTTCTAACTGGAGTGTAAATACAGCAATCTTCATACTTTTGGTATACAGCCAAGAGTATTAGGTGTTCAACTAAATCAGTACCAACATGACACTAATAACTTGTATTTACGCTATTAAATCTGTGAAAATTGCAAGATTTTTTAGTATTCAGGAATTCATAGGTGTCCAAATATTTATTTCAGTTTTGTGATTTGACTCAAAGGAATTTAGTTTGAGGGATGGATTTTCCCAAGGACCAGAACCTTAGAAACCTAATTCTTTTATAATTAGAATAGTAGGTATAGAGTTTGTAGGTAGCTAGTCAGACGAGGAAATTTTGAGATGGAAGAAGATATATGGCGCAATAGAGAGAATGCTGGGCTAGAGTCAAGAAAACCTGAGTTCAGAACCAGTAGCTGTGTGACCTTGGGCAAGTCACTTAGCCTCTATTTGCCTCAATTTCCTCAGTTATAAAATGGAATAATAATAATAGCGCCTAGTTCCCAGGCTTGTTGTGTGGGTCAAATGAGATGATGTTTGTAAAGGCACTTAGCATAGTACCTGACACATAATAGGCAATATAAAAATGCTAGCTATAACAACAACAGCAACAGCAACAATGATAAATGAAGTGATTTGGGACCTGTTTGGCAAGCCATCTCATTTCAGACATGTAGGAATTCAGTTAAGATCTTGATTTATTATAGCTAGGTTTATTTCAATAGGAAGTTCTTAGGACTCTTTTCCAGACTGTGGTTCCAGACTTGGTGTATCCCTCATTGATCTCTCACCTAATCTCATGAAACAAGCATAGAACCAGGTGTCAGAAGACTTGGGTTCTAGATCAGCACCAAAGATGGCAGAGTGAAAGCAGTGACTTGCTTGAGCTCTCCCCCAAACCCCTCCAATACCTGTAAAAAAATTTCTAAACAAATTCTAGAGCAGCAGAACCCACAAAAAGACAGAATGAAACAAATTTCCAGCCCAAGACAACCTGAATGGTTGATTGGAAAGGTCTGTCACTCCAGGCTGGGAGAGGAACAGAGTTGAGTGTGGGCATGCAGGCAAAGACTAGTTCTCAGAGAACCTGGAGCAGCCCTCAGAGTACTGAATCACTAGCAGCTGTGGTGGTTTCCAGATTTCTCAACCCACAAAAGCCAGAGACAACTTAAAAGGTCAGTAGGAAAGGTCTGTGACTGGGGGTGGGGGGGAGCTTGGTCCCAGTCCCAGCGCAGCCCAGGGGCAGCAGCTGCTTCTGGGGCTCCTGGACCACTGACTGAGGGGTAATCGAGTGGCTGATCAGAGGGGGACTGCAGGGATTTCTTTGCTGGTGCTGAGGCAGGATTCTCTTGCTTTGCCTGTGTTTGGGTCAGGGTCACAGTTCTGGGTGTGATCCTGTGGTGAGGAGGAGTGCTGGTGTGGTGGAGCTTGTAGTGATTGTGCAGAGAGAATCCTCCTTAAGGATTACAAGCAGAGAAGAGTGCTTATGGTCACTAATAGACCAGAGCACAGGCCAGAAAGGAGTGAACACCTCACCCTTGATCATACCACCTTGGAAGAACTGAAAATTTACAGGTCCCTACAAGTATCTCTGAAAACAGCTACACAAAACCCCTGAAGCTTGAGACAGTGTATTCTTCACACTGGAAATAGATCCCTACCTTCATAAAACTCAAGTGATTGGCTGGGAACATGGGCACACTGCACAAAAAAAGTCTTTGGTGACAAAGAAGATCAAAACATACAACCAGAAGAAGACAACAAAGTCAAAGCTCCTACATCCAAAGCCTCCAAGAAAAATATGAATCAGTCCCAGGCCTTGGAAGAGCTCAAAAGGGATTTTGAGAAGCAAGTAAGAGAAGCAGAGGAAAAACTGGGAAGAGAAATGAGAGTGATGCAAGAAAATCATGAAAAACAAGTCAACAGCTTGCTAAAAGAGACCCAAAAAAACACTGAAGAAAATAACACCTTAAAAAATAGCCTAACCCAAATGGCATAAGAGGTCCAAAAAGCCAATGAGGAGAAGAATGACTTAAAAAGCAGAATTAGCCAGATGGAAAAGGAAGTCCACAAACTCACTGAAGAAAATACTTCCTTAAAAATTAGAATGGAGCAATTGGAAGCTAGTGACTTTATGAGAAATCAAGACAAAACCAAACAAAACCAAAAGAATGAAAAAATAGAAGACAATGTAAAATATCTCATTGGAAAAACAGCTGACCTGGAAAACAGATCCAGGAGAGATAATTTAAAAACTATTGGACTATCTGAAAGCCATGATCAAAAAAACAGCCTAGACATCATCTTTCAAGAATTTATAAGGAAAACTGCCCTGATATTCTAGAAGCAGAGGGTAAAATAGAAATGGAAAGAATCTACCGATCACCCCCTGAAAGAGGTGATTCGCCAGTCTGTATACTCCTGGCATAGCTTCTGAAAGCCTCCATTTGCCACTGTGCCACGAAGGGCACGATTGTAGGAACTCCTCTTTTCCCAGTGCTGGTGGATGACATCCTTTTCTCTCATCTTACAACATATAGCTGTATTTTAGAGCCTAAGTCATCATTAGAATTTTCCCGAGGACCAGAACCCAAATGTGTGAAATGATTAAGCTCTGCATTTGCTTATATAACTTACAGATTGTTACAAAGATAGTGGAATCTAGTCTTTGCTGTTTGCAAGTTAAATTTAATGTTTTATCAAGAAGGTTGTCATGTCTTGATTTTCTTTTTTCTTCCATTGACCTACAACCGTCTTGATCCTTTATCACCGACCTGACTCTCTTTAACAGAAATATATTAAGCAGAGAGAATGGAGACTTAGAGCTACAGGAAGAAGCAAAAGGAAATCTTTGTCAGATGAGTAGTGATAGGTACTCTATAGGCAACAAAATGTATGTGATAAAAGATATCATATCAAATAATATTTAGTACAGTACTACATATGGAAAAATGAAAACTTGTCAGGTCATCTGCTTTACCCTAAAATAGCTTCATAATAAGGAGCTGGTGGTAAGAAGCATCTGTAGAATTTAAGATTAAACTTTGGCAGCTCTAGCTTCCAAGGACCTGGAAAAGAAAGTTCTCACTGTCAAAGCCCTGGGCCTGTCAAATTATTTAACATAAGAGAAAAGTATGATTTTGTCAGTGTATTAAAGAAGATTGTTTACCATCTACTTTGCCCCATCTACGCTTCTTCTCTGGTCCTTTCCATCTGACTTGCAGCTGAAATCTCCTATGTGTGCCATCTGCTTGTTAAAATGTGAGCTCCTGGAGAGCAGGAACTGCCTTCTTTATCTATCTATCTATCTATCTGTCTATCTATCTATCTATCTATCTATCTATTACTAGTGGCCTTTGCACATAAGTATTTAATGAGTTTTTTAATTCATTCATATAGCTAATGGTAAGAGCAACATTTGCTTCACTCCTAAAAAAAAAAAAAGACCTCGTTGATGCTCAAAAATTAGATTTTTTTAAACAATCCATTATTTACATACCTGAAACTTACTCATCCAGATGACTGCCTTCCAGAAGCTATATCAAACACATATGTAAATATAATGATCCCCACCTGCCAAGAGGTTACATTCTAAAATAGCCACTACAATTTTTCTTTACTTAATAATCTTTTATGGTCCCCTTTCTTCAGACAACTCAATGCACAAGAAATTCACAAATTGTTTAAAAAGAAAAAAAAGTACAGTGACATATCTTAGAGCAGCTTCCATATGCAAGTGGGTGCTTAATACATAATTTTAATTATGAAGGTTTTTTCAGATATTTTAAAATAGCTACAAATAAGGAAAGGATGACATTCGAGGAAAGAAAATTTACAATTTTGGAAAAGGTCTAAATATTTGATTACCATAGTCCAATAGACTTAATGATAAGGATCTTTCCATCCAATCATCCATCTTGGGTCCTGTTGTTATTCTTCTGTCCCACTCTTTTTTTCCTAAGCCAAATCTGAGAGTATTTCTCCAATTCCACCGTCATGGTGTTAATTGCCATGCAGGATAGACTAAAGTACTCCATTGAATCTGTGATGTCATTGATGTGCGTATTCTCATCCCATCCATGTCTTGGCCGTGTCCTTCCAGAAGTACATCACAGAGGATCCTTCTGGTGTGGTCGAGGACCTTCCTTAGGTTCCCTTTAAATTGCGAGGACACCAGTAAGGAGTTCAGGGTACCCATTAGTTATCCTTCATTCTTGACTTATAATCAGCCCACTTTCTTTCTGGTCACGTGTTCTTTTATGACATCTTTCATACTATTTCTCCTTTGTTATTTCATGGTTATAATTTGTTGCATCCTGCTCATCCCATGCACCTTTTGTTTACCTTTTGGGCAATCCTCAATTTCAGTTCTTTTTTATTTTATTTTTATTATTAACTTAATCATCAACATAAAGAAAAAAGAAGATTGCAATTTATTGTCTGTATTTTCCCAAGAAAAACTAGTTTCCTCTAAGTGCAGT